GTGCTCCCTTGTGCTCCTAACATTTTGGTTTGTGTTTAACCAGCTCCTTAGCTGGTAAGTGGACAGAGTAAGTTCCCCATCACTGCTCAAATAATAATGCTATACAACTATGTAAGAAGACACATGGCAATATCCAAGCACAGCAATGCTTTTACTATGAAAATCATTATCAGTAAAGGGACAAGCACAGCCCTTTTTCTGCAAAGCCTGAATAAATAAAGGAGCTTTGTCTAGGAAATTCAGAAGAGACTTGAAGGGAAATAAATTCTGCAGTTAATCATTCATCTTGGAGTGTCTGCTGAGCAGCTCTGCAGCCCACTCTAAAGCCTTTCAGCTGTGGCAATTATTACAGGGTGTTAGACCCAGGGGTCTGTACAGCTCTGGTTTTGCTGGTCATGTCCGTGGCTTGCACTGTTCAACTGAATTTTCCCCAGCACAGCTACACAGAGAAAGGCACTCAGGATTACCATGCCACAGCATGCATGCATATCCTGTCTATATCCCAATCTGTACATCTTCCTGTTTTTTCTCTTTCCACATCTAACTGTCTTCAGTGCCTAGCAAGACATTCCCCTTCAGGATATTGTCCTGAACAAGCAAAGATTAGCTATGGAAACTGCATGCATGATAAGGACACCATATAAATTAATATTATTCCAGCAACATTAACTTAATTATTTTGATAACATTGGAAAGGTTATGTCTCAACTTTTACAGAGACAAGCCCTGTATATTTTTAGAGGGCAAAACAACCAGAAATCTTTGGTCTGCTCTTCAATATAGTATATAAAAGGTTTATGGATTTCATCAAAACTGGTTAGTTTATTGTCTAGACCACAGATTATTTTTCATAAGATTTTTGTCATATCTGTGAGCTGTTTTGTAATGATGGATGAGACTACTGCCTTAAAATCATCATTTTCTGTAAGCAGGGAAACCCACTGAACCCTGTCAGATGGAATATCGCCTTCCCCCCTGGAGCCTTATAAACTAAGGGCATAATCTGTTCTCACATGGGTATACAGGAGTCCAGGACCAAACTACACTTAACTAAAGGGTTTTTATACAGGAATAGAATATGAATTATACAGCTATAATAGGAGTTTCAAAGTTTTGCTTGCATAAGCTGAAATTGTTACTGAAACATTATACCAACCACAGGCTTTGGCACTCAAATCAAAGTTGGTGATTTCAGCCCTTCTAAGGAATGCTGTTTCTAGAAACAGTGTCTGTCGTCATTAGTTTTGTTTTTTCATAAAATAGGAACAATGGATCATGTGAAGGCGTAAGTGTCAAGTAAAATCTATGCTCAGTTTACAAAGAAGCGGAATTGTGTCCTTTCTATAATTTCAGTCCAAATGTTAGAGCTTAGCAAGCCATACAGTCAATTATATGCACAGAAATAAATCACAGTTTCTACATGTATGGCTCTTGAAACACATTTTTCTTCAGGTATAATGACAAGGAGCACAAATATACAGGAGATTGGAAAACATGTAATCACTCTCTTCTGTAGAAAAATTAAAAACACTTATAGTAATGGACTAGGCATCAACCACTGCCAAAGGTATCAACAATTTTCACTTTTATCATTTATCACTTAGAAAAATCTGCTTGCTGCTTCTGTCTTACTCTACATGACTTCAGAGTTAAAAATTAAATATGCAGCTTCACATTTCATTTTTAACAGTTAATTGCTACATAAATACACAGCAAAAAGCAAAGCAAAGACACTTTATAAAACCAGAATGGTTCCAAAATATTCAGTTGCATCTTTATTTACATTTCTTATGCAGTAGATATATTTGAAAGACCTACTCTGAAGTGACTCTTTCTACAGTAAGGCAAAAAATTTAAACTCCTCATCATTTTGAAAGCAATAGAATTCACATTTATTGCTGTGCCATACCAAACTACAGCCCCACCTCTGGATAACAAAAGACTACAGGGTAGATGGACGCTTTAAGAGCCTTCCCTGGAGCCCTCCAGTGTGTACTGTGTTGTCTGTTTAGATTATAAACTCCTGAAAATGCCTGGACCTGAACATTTTTTCTGTGTTTTGTGCAGATCTACTTCTTATGGTGTTTAGAATGATCATCACGATTAATCCATAGATAAACTACCCTAAGGAAGCCAATGCTGCCTGCCCTGCAAGAGCACGGCCTCAGATGTGGCATAAATACCATTTGCTCTCCGTTATTTACAGCGCCTGTTATGGCTCTCCAGGGAGACATGAGTCCAACGCCCAAATTCATGGGTCATGCCGGGGAGGCAAGCACCAACTTTATTAGACTGTGAATTAGGCCACTGATCTGTAACACCCACAGAGCTTGCATGCTGATGAGATCTATATATATATATATATAGATCTCATCAGCAGACATCAGTAAACCCTTGCCAACTGTCCTGACCAAAGCCAGCCACAGAACAAGCCAGAACACTGCACTGCACAGCAGTGCTATCTCTCCCCTTGGTGAATCTGTAGAAAAACTGAGTCATGTCATACCAAGTTCAGCCCTTTCAATATTAAAAACCAAGATAGCGTAATGCATCTCAAATTATCTAATGACCACACACTAATGTGATTTTCCCTGTCTACTGCTTTCACAATAACTGAAGCAATAGTCACTTCAGCAATGGGAAAAAAAAAAGAAATAAAATAGCCAAACAACTAAAATATATCTAGGTCACTACCAACTAAAAGATTAACTTTATTCTTAGTATCTCAACCTTTTTTTTAGTTAATTTGATGGTATGAAATGACATTATTGACACATGGCCATCGTGCATACCCAGCCACATGTGCCTGTGGGCAGTGCATGGACGAATTGCATGGCCAGTGTTATAACACTCAGACACCAACTTACAACTAAGCCATAGGACTTTAGTGTAAGTTGATGGATGATTTTTGAAAGGTGAATGGCAGAGGTAAGTTTCCCCTTTTGCTAAATATATATGGTTCCTGTTCTTTGGTATTTATACTTCTGGAACATGACTTTCAAATAACTTCACCTGGGAAGCAGCAAATTAGCTCTGTCTGCTAACTGGCTGGAATAAACAATCCATCTGTAAAGCTTTCCTTGAGCAAGGGGTTTCTTTTCTGTTTGTGCTTAAAAGGAAATGGAAGCATAGAAAAAAAACAATCCAAAGGGGGAAGAGACCTGCCAAAGGAGATACAGATGTGTATTGTACTGACTGTTAGGGTACTAAATTCCTGGCAGGGCTCACATGGATGTCTTTCTCTGTGCTCTCTCTAGCACTAAATCTTATTTCCAATGTTTAAAAACAAGAATTGTAATATAATTTGTGAATAAAATCTCCTAAGAAACCCAGCAGAATTTTCCCTGGTGGTATTGCCCTGGCCATTCCACATATGACAACATACAGTTTGAATTAAAAATTAATGTCATGTATGAAAATAAAACTAAGTCTAATTCTCACCTGTATTGGGTTTGCATGGCAAGGTTTTGGTGTGTTACAGGGGTGGCTTCTGTGAGAAGCTAACAGGACCTTCCCCCATGTTCAGCAAAGCCAATGCCAGCCCCAGGAGAGACCCACTGCTGGCCAAGGCCAAGCCCTATCAGTCAGAGTCAACTCACCATATCACCCTGGTACCATTTACACACCCAGCAGTCTTTACTCATACATTACAGTAACAGTTACTTCAATCAGTACTGAATACCTAAGAAATCTATTTTTAAAAGTCTCTACAATACTTAGAAGGCTTAACATATCTGTTTTAGTAAATAAAAAAAAATAATAATTGCTGTTCTGAGTAGTAAAATCCACTCACATTACATTACACATATATAAACTTGCACAAAAGAAATTTTCAAGAGAGGAAGGGAGAATTTCTCTCCCGCTGCAGAGCTGTGAGTCATGAACACTTCCAATAGTCCACATTCAGTTGTTTAATCTCTTTTTCACAAAGGAACTAATTTCAGCCCAGAATTTAGACAGATGCTTAATGCCCTGTTAGGTTGTTCCAATACAGCTAGAAAAACAACTATTTACTCTGTGTCATGTTTGAGTTCCATAGTATTCATGTTCTAGAAAAAGATAATGAACTTCTAAACACTTTCCAGTAAATGTTACTATAATTTTAGGCCTTCCTCAACAGGAATATTCTACAAGCTCCAGATATGTCAACCAAAATTTTGTATTAAATTTTATTTTTCAACAATTTAAATCTACTGAACTAACACAGAATATTCCAGGTTAATAGTATGCCCTCTTTCACACTGAGCATGAACAGGTCAATACAGAAACTTCAAAGGCCATCTTGAAATTCTCTAGCATCAGCTAGTAAGAGCCATTCTTGGCCTTAAAATATGATGCCAAAACTGCTCGAAACAATAAGGATTCCTCAGGATCAATCAGGAATGTTATCTTATCTTTGGGATAAAGGAAGCATATAGACTCAGATGGAAGGAGGAACAAAACAATCTAATAAATGAAAAGGCATAGAGACAGGGACGCTGATTTCAGACAGTGTAACAGTTCCTATAGGACCAGTTCAGCTGCCTCCAAAAATGAAAGAGCTGGAACCCCCCTGCCTTCTACAGAGGTCCAGTTCAGCTCCTGACTCCTTCCCAAGTCAAGCAAGGTCTGTAGCTGATATATATTTACATCTGCCTACTCAGTGTATGAGTGTCAAGAGGTTCATTCCACAAAATTTCTTAAGAGCTATCAGACCTACCAATCACATTCCAAATTACTTCATGGAATGTGACAAAATCAAAAGAAAAGAGGAGGAAATAGATGAGTGATGCAAGACACTGCCACAGAGAATTGTCAGAATGCAACTGGGGATTTTTTTTCCAATTCTTTTAATTAGCCTCAACTTTACTACAGTTCAAATTAAAGTATCACCACAGGCTATTGATCCCAAGCAAAGCTCAGATTTCTAAAAAAAAACATTTTCATAAAACTACACATATAAAATACTTACTTAAACAACTACGGCATCTTGAAAGACAGTAATTGAGAATTACAAGTACCTGTTGTCCCCACGGGCAGGATCCTTGGGTTTAGTATCACTGTCATAAACAAAACGCTCTTGGGAGATGACTATGATGTTGTCTGTAGTTTCATTTCCCAAGATAGTGATAACAGGATAACCCATCTGTAGTGTCCACTGATCCATTACCTCTTGGATATTTACAGATTTTCCAACCCTTTTTAAAGCCTTGGAAAAAAAAGAAAAGTTTCAATACACTGAAGCAGTATCAATATGTAAAACCTTTTTTTTTTTTGTCCCAGGATCAAAACTGTTTTTGGAGGGTAAAATAACCATCACACATGTATGCAGATACACACACACACACTTACACCCAACACACAGACACTACATAATTGAACTTAAGGCTCTGTGTATCTTTAAAATAAATGTTGGGTAATCTTAACAGAGAGGAGAGTGACAGTCAGCAAGTCATGTTTTCCACATCATTCAAGTACTTCTGCTGAAACAGAAGAAATAACCTGCTTTACAGGATTTTTACAAGGGCCACAGAAATACAGGGTAGCTATTCTTAACCAGCTAAGGTAAAAAAAGACACAATGTTAGTTGATCTAGGCACTTAAAATAAGGCATATTTGAAGGGCCTTAATTTCTAAAAATATAGTGCTTCTCTGTTCTGAAAATCAAAATGACTAGTTATTTGAAAATACTGTCCCTTATATCCAAAGTGAGGCTATGTATACCAAGATATCCCCTGCTGCTTCATAAACTGCACCTGTTAGAACACATGGAGGACTAATGTGTTCATATTTGATTCCATATGTCAATAAAAATGCTGTTTTACAAGTGGATTTTTGTCTGAAACACAAAGAGATACTACAGCATCGTGGGAGATGAGTCTGCATATGAGGAGAAAGAGGCATCATTTGTTCTGCAGCGACAGACATGCTCCTAGCTGTCGAACAGTCCAAGATCACAGACTGAGCAATCTCTGATGAATACAAGCAGAAGATGTCTTCAGAACTGAAGCTGCAGTTGCACTGCCCTAGGAACAAAGGGGCTGGCAACAAATGCATTTACAACTGAGGCAAACAGAATTATTAGCTGCAACAGTAGATATAAGCATACAGTATAGCTACAGTGGTTATGGACCAGAATACAGTCTCATTTTTGTTCCACTTCATTAGCTGCAGATTCTGCTGTTCTTTCAAGACAACATTCATTCCTCTGACCTCCCATGGCCCAGAACTGTCCCCAAGGCTTTAACAGAGGCTGGAAAGAAAGATTTCTTGTGGTGACATTCAGCTACAGATTAAGACATAGATTTAAAAGCCTGACTGTATGTTACTTGTCTCAACTCTCATTAGCAGTCAGTACAGACATAGGACTTGGTTCAATTGCCCACATGTATGTGAATAATGACATTTGACCTTTACCAGCCACTTCAGAAGAGCAGAGATTTCCCCATATATCTGATGCTAAATTGGTTAGACACACATGAATGTCTTAAACATCCTACTGCACCTAATCTGGCACTAGTTGCCTATATTTGAACAATTATCTCAAGTCTCTAGACAACAGTCAGTGGTTCAGGTTTATTATAAAATAATCATGTAGTGGTTAGCCAACTGAATTACTTTCTAAGCTCTGCTGACTATATTGACTAGATTTCTGGGAGTCCAGTTGTTCCTGTTCACTAGTGTCAAATGACATGTCCTAAAACACTCAACACATTCTTTCAGAACCATTGTATCTACAACAGATGTGCTTCTCAGGTGGCAGCTGGAAGCCAGGTAGAATAAATTAAGGTAAAAGCTGTTAAAAGTCTGTGAATCAGCAACTGAAGACTCAGTGAGAAGAACAGGATCTCGGACATCTAGTTTACATGTATACACCTGCTTGTCTAGATGTCTTGACCTCCAGCTAAATCCTAGTTTTGGTGTCAACAGTTAAAACTAGATTGTCATGTTTTGTATGGCTTGAATTGGTACCTGTGCCAAAACTCTCTGACTGTACTCCACATTGTCCTCCACTCAGTCTATTTCTGGGGAAGACTCAGACTAGGGGAGAAATTCAGGGACACTTTGTTCATCTTACAAATGATGAGCCATTGTGGAGCACTAGGCCAGATTCTAGAACTCAAGCCAAGCCTGGATATATAAGTCTCTACAGCATGCCAAATATTACAGTAAATAGTTCTCTGTTTACATCATACTTTGAAGCTTTAATATTTTTGTCCTTCATAAAAATCTTAACTCCATACAAAATCACAGACACGTGTGATGGAAATGCCAAAGCTCAGCACTTTCATGTGTTTCATACATTCTAACATAACAAAGAATAGAAATGCTGCAGATCTCATCTTTTTAATATGGTTTCCTAGTTTAACTCAAATGAAATTTCTTTGCATCAGTTTTGATATTTGCTCTGTGGTTTGAAGATCTCAGTATGCACTATTCACTCCTGATCTCACCAAGAAAAACACCATAGCAAATTCCTATTTCTCCCGCAGTGCAAGAGATTAAAGCATTTTACCTTTGACAATGTGTTCCAGAGATCATTTCTGGCTGCACTGCCATACTTGTGAATGGTTAAATAGTCCTACAGAAATAAAATAAAAATAAAAATCAGTATTAAAATACATAGGCCAAACAACTAGAGCTGTGCAACACTGCTATTAGGAGTTAAATCACATCAATGTTTGCATTTGTTAGAAATCTAGAAATACACAATATGTTTATCCTAAGGGAATAAATAAACAGTTTCTTAAGCTACTTTGCAATGCAAAAATTGTTGCTAAAAATTAAATGCTCTTCCTTTTCTGTGTAAGTCATTTTATAAGCTAAATATCTTTAATATATATAATATAAAGCTAAATATCTTTAATATATATCTTTAGAATACGTGTCTAATCTGGGGAAAGGTTCCTAGGTAATTTTCAGCAATGAAAGGAGAAGCTGCTAAAAGACAGTTCCAGTTGCTATTTTAGCTGGTCATTCTGCTTTGTCTAGTATCAAAAATTTGTGCACTTGGATGACAGTTGGATTAATTACAGAAGATTTAACTGAGCAATAGTCCATCTGAACTCAAAACTCTTATCTAGGGAGATCCTGGCCCCTCAGTGTCAAAACACATAATGCTGGCGGCTAGGGCTGCAACAGGTTATCACAAAGGCTCTCCACAACAGGGAGCAGTGGAGAACATATGACAGGAATCTGACTCCATGCTTGTGCACAGGAACTTACATGTGTGTTTTCAAGCCACCTGTGACTCAGAGCCTGAGGAGGTTCTAAACTGAATGCTTTCACTTATTCCACCACAGTTTCAATAGCTGAAGGTCCATTGTTCTCCCAAGAAAGATAATTCTCAGTAAGCTTCCATCATATTACAATAACTTCCAAAATTAATAGTTTAAGCATACTACCAGCTTGGGTCTAGGTCTTTCACGCATAAAATGCTTGCTTTTTAAAATGACTTCTGGAGAGACAACACTGTTGTTTCCCACTATCCCATGTCCCTTGATAACAGTTCATTCATTTACAAAAGTGAAATTCAGCAGTGATTATTTGAATAATATACATTTCAAGCATTTGATTGGGAGAATTAAGTGAAAAACACAGATCAGAGGTTGTACATCAACTGGCTCTCCTACAATTGAATTTCTACCATCTTCACTTTACACAATGGTAGAAGACAAACCCTAATTTACTGCACAATGATAAAACTAGGACAAATTTGCTGACTGTGTTATCTGTGCTTTGTGTGAAGTAAGATACTTTGGGAATAATTAGTATTTGGAAAGCAAATTTTCTGATACACAAATTGTAGCACCTGTGACAGATTTAGCTTTTGTCAGCCAACTTATAGTGAAACAAACAACAACTCCCATTTAATCACAGACTAAGAAGGCTAAATGAGAACACTGACTCTTTAAATGCAGTGCTGAGTCTTAACAATGTCATGAGACTAACTCAGAAAAAAGACAATATTATACAGGCTGCCCCTATAGCACACTGTGTTTCCATTTTGTCTAAAAATACAGAACCATTTAAGGCACAGTGAAACATTCAATAGCTTCCAAGGCTAAAAAAGCTGAATTGCAAATTAGAAAGCTAAAATGGGAATAAACAAAAGTGGGACAAGGTAAATAAATAACAACAGATATACAATCCACATTTTAAGCAATACTAGAAAATGCTGCATATATTGGTCCTTCAGAGAGATGCTGTTAGAATCATTACAGAGCAAAAAAAAATGGGTGGAATACTTGAGGACTTCATCCAGGCAATAATCCTGCTTACCACTCTACCATTAGACATTATATTTGACTTCTACATTTTGTGTTCAGAAAGACTGCAGAGTTTAAATGCTTCTTCCTTTTCTTTAGGGTTTGGTTTTGTTTGGTTTTTTTCCTCCCAACACATGGATTGGGCAGTTCAAATGTGGCTTGTCACTCAGTTAAAAATTTATTATCCTCCAATCTAACATGTTTAGCTCACAAAGAAAAACAAAAGCAATCCTAACCTTTACCATGAAATAAGAATACACAATAAGAAACACAATGTCTTGGTATGATCCTTGTACCATACAGCCTAATCATCAATTTTGTCATTATTTCATGAAAGTTTCATCAAGAGCATAAACACAACATAAAACTAGGAGTGTATCAAACATATGCACAAAAATCAGTCCTAAGTGACAGTGTGTATCAACACAGGCTTTCATTAGTAAACCGACATTGCAATCTCAAATCTGAGTGTGCTTTCGAAAGCCACAAGAGCATAAGGCTTCTGAAACAGGTCTCATCAAATATCCTCTTATTCATAGCCTCATATATATTTTTTTCAACAATAACCCGTAGAAAACACCTGAAAATAGTATAAAACTAGAAAAGCATACAGTGGTACCTCCCACAACTGCTCTTCCATCACCCAGCACTTCACAGAACCAGAAATCCTAAGCAGATAAGTATCCTTGCATTTAATAGTTATCTTCTGTGAATTCAGCTGGTTGCTTTCTGAACAAATCAGCATTTGCAATACCTTATGAAAAAGCATTTCTCACTTCAGTGATCTGTTCTGTGATACCTGTTCCAAATACCTGCCTGTCTGCTGGTTTCATCTGCTGCTTCCTACTTCTAGCATTAGAAGACACAGTGCATTACTGTTCCCCACTTCACTCTCCCCAAGCCACTCGTGTTTTTACAGATCTTTATGGAATGTGTACAGCCTTTATATTGAGAACTCTGCCAGACCCAACCACTCCCAGCTCTGCTGCAAAGTTATAGTGCCACCCGAGCTTCTGACTCCAAAGGTAGTTTGGATAGCTTCTGACCCTGCCTGAACTTTCATTACCAGATGATGAGTCTCACTTCCTCTTCCACTGACAGGCATTCAGCTTAAAAAGGAAAAGACATATCAGCATCAAATACACATCAGGAAATAGTAAAATAGGAGCCAAAGATCTATACATACCCTGCTTGTCTATTCTAAGGATGGAACAAGCAGGAATAGAATCCATTTTTCCTCCTGGGGACACATATCTAAGGCTTAAGCAGCTTGCAGAGGGGCAGAATACACGCTCTTATTCACTGTAATTCTCCAGGGCTGGATTATTAGCCACCCCTTTGCCTGTACATTTAGTAGAAAAACCAAAGCAAACAGAACAGAGATGCAAGCCACAGAACAGAAAAGGAGGATGACACTGAAAACACAGCTGTCTGAATCTAAGCTGTGCTCAGCACAGCTCCAAAGGAGGCAAAGTGACTTAAAGCCACTTATTCATAAACACATATGCCCAAAACCATCTGGCTGCAAGGCTGCTTCCCGTCATAAACTTGCAAGTCTACCACTGACAAAAGCTGTTCCATTGACTGCAGTATGCTGGAGCATGAAGATATGCATTAGCCACCTCCCTGTCAGCTATAGCCCTACAGTGTATGCGAGCACAAAGATGGCAGGCAAATCTCTTTAACAACTCAAAGACTCAAAGACTTCTACAACTCTTCCATTCTCCTTCACTGTAATGCTGCCTCTAAAGTTTTTCATTGTCATGAAGAAAGTAGGAAGAAGTCACAGACCCTAGGGCACTGTCACATAACATGAAAATTAATCAAAAACACATAACCAAACATAATTAGTTGGGTTTACATTTTCAGCACGCTTCCTCTTGTGATAGTCTTCCTCATATTTTCACTTTAAAACATGAAGCCACTCTTTGCCAAAAAAAAAAAAGGAATGTGATCCATTCACATCTATCAATAAAAAATTAATCAGACAATGCAGTTTTCTAACATGTTTTAGCAAGTCTTAACATTAAGGAAATAAATAAATAAATAAGCAACTAAGTATCCTGACTCTGTGATACCATGAAAACAAAGTCCATTTATTGCACAACCAAAGGATAAGATCCTTCCAAAAATCCCAACAGATTTAGACTACAGTATAATGTGTTATCAAACAGTAATCCTAACCCCCCCCAAAAAGAATTAAAAAGCTCAATGCTTTTGAAATTATTTCTTGTAAACTGGAGAAGATAGATTGAACAGTAGTAGGAACAGTGAAAAATGCTAAAATATTTTGAAAGATGGTTTCAGTAATGCTGTACTGATTAAGCTTTCAGATATTGAATGTATTAGATATTTTTAAGAAAAGGAGATTATTTAAAAGGGAAAAGTCTTTCATTTCTTTGCAATATTGCCTATTAAAAAAGCCTCTTGGTTGCAAAATAAATTAACTACCCCACTATCCAAACATGATAATGCTCACAACTAACAAAAGGCAGTGACTGATAAATACAAAACAGTTAATACCAAAAAGTTAAGCAAGTATAAAGGAGGAGTAAGTCTCCAAACATGTGCCTTAGTTTCAGGGGAGATTTTACATCTATAAACAGAAACCAAAATATCAGACCTAGGACTAAATTCCTTTCTCAGTTAATCTGCATGAAGCTGACTGCTCAGCTGAAGGAACAGCTCCAGACTCACATGAGTGATGCAGAGATCTGAAATAGATTGAGAAACTTCATTTTTCTCCTAAAGAAAACTGTAAAATTCCACTATATGAGGGAGGGAAATGTAGCAAACTATTTTCATCCCCAGTTCTTGTGGCTATTTTTCTCCTTTCCCAAGGCTCAGGTAACGCAGACCTGCCTCTACCTCCTGTTTTTTGTATTTCATTCCTACTCCTCAGTACACATCCTCCTCCCTTTGGCCTACAATATGTTCTTGTTCAGTGCTTTGATACATGACTGCTGTAAATCACTGAAGATTTAACACTACAAATAAAAACATTTACTTCAGGTAGAAGTCAGTCTCTAAGGCTCCAGGTATCAAATCCAGCATGTTTGTTTTCCTAGAAATTTATATACCTAACCTTAAGCCAACAGACACCATCTGACAGATGCTGACTCTGACTATAACATGACCCTTTTTCCTCCCTTCCTTCACACTGCTAAAATCAAATCTGCTATCACACATTATCTTAACATTGTCTAACATTCAAATAAAAAAGCTTGGGCCAGGATCAGAGTAGTGCACATGGCCGCAAAGGTGAGCAACAAACAAGAGGGAGTGAGAACCAGTGGTAAAGGACTACCAGCAA